ATCCAGTGAACAATTTATTTATTCATTCCTGTGTAAATGATTCGATCTAACTGGGATTCATAGCCTATACATAGCTAAAGAGAAAGCACTTATGAAAATGAAATCATCGTAATCCGGAAGACTTTTCTTCGTCATGTTTAATAATATAAAACTATCATTTACTATATCTATTTAGTTTCAGTTTTTATAAAATAACTTACAATTTATAGTAATACAGGAAATGTACAGAACGTTCAATGAAAATAAATACTATCAACAACAAATGATCGTTGCCAGTTATATAAACAAGTTTTCGGGTATTGTAAGAAATAGTACAAATTAACCCTTTATTAAACTGTAGAATTTGTTTTGCCAAACACACTTATAAGTTTGGTAATGAATATTTTAATACTAATCTATTCTAAAATGCAATCAAGTTGTTTGTTGAAATGTTTATATGGATTTTATTCCAATTGTTGTTCATTTTAAAGAGTCAATGTATCAGAGACTTATTAGATCTCTAAACTTCAAGTTCTATATCTTACATTAGTTGTATCACCAACTTAAAACATCAAAACGTTCGAAATAGCTAAATATTTTCGTTTTATTGTTTTTAGAACCGACTGCATTTGCATTATCTCAACATTTAATAAACTGAAAGAGTAGTAAGGAATTAACAGTTAAGTAAGCTGAGTTGTCAGTAAAATCACTGGGTGTCTAATTTGATTAAATATTACTTTGACCATAATCATACATATCAAAAGTTTACTGATTTTCTTCTAAGAATTATAAACGACGAATCGCCATTTTGTTACTAAGAGATTTTCAAAACGTAAATTGACTGAGCGATAATAGATCATTTCTTAAAAATTCAGTTTTATTCAGCTTAATTAGTACATTCAATTTGGAAATAACCTTAATAAATGTTCTTTTATTTAGTTCATGTACCTGAATACAAGTGGTTGAATATAAAAAAAGTATTATTAACAATATTAGTATAACTGACGATGATATTTAAAGAAATCTGTTGGCGAAATCCAAAGTGTAACGTCTATTTCAATAAAACGGTGAGCATAATTAGTTCATAGTTTTATGTATTTAAATAAATAAAATACCTATAAAAATATTTTATATCGTCAATGAAAATTTAAAAAAACTATTACATATTGGTGAATCGAAAATAAACTTTATTTCATTTAAGTGCACTGGAACGCCGGTTAAATTCGACATAAAAGTAATCAAAATTTAAACTGATTTGCATCAGAGCATTACCGTCAAATTATTTGTCAGGCTTGTTTAGTACAATAAAAAATATGAATCTTGCCTTTAGAGATCATTTCACATTAACGTTATCAGTTAGCATTTATATATCACTGTAAAAACATAAATACTTACTTATTAAACCTGTTACCTCTCGTCGAAAAGTACAGGCCGCCTACCAGCACTCTCCATGCAACACTCTCCCAGACAATCCTTTCCACTTGTTTCCAGTTGCTATTCAACCTTTCCATGGCTGCCCCCAATTCTCGACGAAGTGTGTTCTTTGACCTTCCTCTTTTCCATTTCCCTTCAGAATTCCAATTTTTAGCGCTTGATTTGTGATGCAGTTGGATGATTTTCTCAATGTGTGTTCTATCCACTACTAAAATTTTTTCCTAATACCCTCTTGAGATTGAAGCTGATTTGTTATCTCCCATAATAGACTGATACAGATGGTATCCGACCAACGGATATTGAGTATCTTCCGTAGACAACTGTTTATAAATACTTGTATATTCTTGATGATGGTTGTAGTAGTTCTCCAAGTTTCAGCTCCGTACAGTAGAACTGTCTTGATGTTCTTATTGAAGATTCTCAATTTGATATTGGTTGGCAGTTGTTTTGAGCTCCGTATGTTCTTTAATTGTATGAATGCTGCCCTTGCTTTGCCAATCCTCACGTATACGTCTCCATCCGATTCTCCTTGTTCATCGATGATGCTTCTCAGGTACGTGAAGTATTCCACATCATCCAGAGTTTTGCCGTCATGTGTGATTGGGTTAGTGTTCTCTGTATTGTATATGAGGATCATGCTTTTTCCTTTGTGTATTTTGAGGTCTGCTGATACAGAGGCTGCTGCTGTACTCGTTGTTCTTATCTGAATTTGTTCGTGTTTGATTATAACTTGTCCATGTAAAATACTTTCAGCGGTAATTCATATGATAAATGATCACAAAAACTATTTGAAGACCTTCACACGTCAATTTATAATATGATTATGAAATCCAAAAGAATAAAAACGGAGAACTATGTTCATTTACTATTACTCTAAACAGCAGCACATTTTTTTATTTGTTTAAAGTTTAGTCGTATGATATTATGAACTACTATCTGTAGTTCTATATGATTATTCATTTATGGAATTGAACTGATCAAAGTTTTATGTTTTACGGAACTAAACCTTTTAATATCTAAATATTTAAACTATTTGATTTGTTATTTAGAAATTTTAGTAAAAAGGTAAGGTAATAATATCGTGAATATTATAACTATTCAGTTCAAGTATCATGATAGAATTAATAGTTTCTTTCTTTAAAATTGGTGCCTACAAATTTACCGTTCTAAATTTGGTAATAAAGTGAATCAATGAAGTAAGTATTTATTTGCCATCTATGTTCCTCACAAAATATGTTTGAAAGAAAAACGTGATAGAAAAATGCAAGATTTTTTTTAAAAAGGAGATTGATTTTCTGGATTAAATTAGATTTTTTTCGAGTGATTGATCAGCTGAAATCGACGTATTTTTGATAATCATTATCTTCGGATTGTAAGCAGTTTTATGAGCCGGGATAACTCATCAATGTAAGTTCATAAATTATAATAACCAGTTTTTAGCAGATTATGTTTACAAACAAATAACAGAGTTCATATAATTTAAATATTCCAATTCGAGTTGGTTTTATGCAGGTTTCTCTTTTAATCAATGTTAAAAAGACTATTTGACATTGATGTCATGAATATCACTATTAATGGTATAATTCGTTAACGTATCTGAATGATTCGCTAAAATAATATGCTGCAATCCTTTGAAACATCATTCTGTGGATGAAGTAAACACAAATGATATATACTTTATAATAAACTTCTGCACTGGTGTTCATCACAAAAACAAGTTAGTGATGTCTAATTTTTTTTCACATTTTTACTGCAACCAGTTTATGTTCTAAGAGTATCATTTAGAAATACGTATCAGGTGTATCATCAAGTGCCGTTGAATGTAAACGTGACTGTTTGGCAAACGAAGATTGAACCAAAGTAGAAATTGATAATCAACGTTGTTTTGATCAAATATCTAATAATTCAGATAATAAAATGTGGGCTTATTGTTTATATATTTTATTAGGAAATTAAGAGTATATCTACTTGTTAATATCTAACTGTAAGTTTGATCAATATTTTTTTAAAATTCGAAATGATACTCGACGAAATGAGATAGAATATGATTTTACTAGATATCAGCCTATGTTACTGATATTTTTTTGTTTCAGTGTAATAAATATATAAATGTTAGTCTTACTCATGGTTATAGTAATTTTATTTTTACATAAGTCTTTGATTATACTTATTCATTACACATTATCAGACTCGTGACCTCCGAAGGAACTCGGCTTTGACCATGAGGCATCATAACTCTTCTAAATGAAAACTTTCTAACTCCCAGAGCAGAGTTTAAATGTTTTGAATTAGTTTTTTCTGGTTAGGGTTTTTTAGCGAGTTATTTTCCTACGGGGTGGGATCAATAACGCCATGCTCAACCCTCCTTCTTTATCCGGGCTTGGGATGGGCTGTAGCGACAGAGGGGCTTCGGAAGGAGTTATAGAAATAAGTAGAAAATTCATTTTCTAATTTGTTTTATATTTGTCCTAAAAACAAATGCCTTTTACTCTACTATGTTGATAATACATTTGTTATCAGTAAAAGACCATCTCTAGAAAACCTTTTCAATTTAAAAGTCACATTATGTAGTGAAAATGTGTGAAGTAAACTAGAAACTTCTGAAAAAGGTTAATAAAAGGAAATTTAAACATAATTCTAAATTTAACTACTTACTGTAAATTAACTGCTCAAGAGTCCCACAATAGGATGAAACGAGCGTCCAGTTCTTCCAGGTTTTCCATGGTGGTCTAGCTTCAATTGATTCACGATTCCAACTATTGAATTTTTAATAGTTGAAATCATGAATCAATTAAAGCTAGACCACCATGAAAAACCTGTAATCACTGGACGGCCGTTTCGACCTAGTATGGGACTTCTCAGCAGTGCGCATCCACTATCCCCCCCGCGGGATTCGAAACCAGGACCTGTCGGTCTCGCGCCAGGCGCTTAACCAACTAGACCACTGAGCCGGCATCCAACGGTGTCAATATCTAACTTCAACCAATCCACGAAGTTGCGCCACCGTCACTATTGTCTTCAGTGAGCTGATATCTCACAACAGACCTGGTTGAACTCCACTGGTCACGACTTCTCACTAGAACTCCAGGAGTATCTCTTGAAGTCAGTCACAAAAATAATAAGATTCTACTAAGTTGAAACTTCTCTTGCCGGGTAAACACCAACAAATATTAAGAAATTTAAAGTGAAAAATTATTATGCAACATCAGGTTTGTAAATCACCAAGTTTGCGTCTATCTTTACAAGTGTTTAACTTCTTGATTTATAGAAAAAACTGATCATTAGATGAATTGTTAACCATTAAAATTAATGCTTTGTGAGAAGGATATTCAATTTAATATCAAAATATTGTGGGTGTTAACATTAAAATAGCAATTATCAGTATTTTATTACTAAGAGCTTCAAAGGAATTACCTTGTACCTTGTATGCTAACAGTAGTTCATTACCTGATAGAGCATCAACATGTGATCTGTGTATATTTAGTACGTGTAAAAATTTTATCATTTATTGTGAAACCACTTCAAATGTTTGTGAAATGAACTTTATTCGAAATACACACGTACCATCAAAAACTTATAAAAATTAAGTTTTATATACGCTCCGTTACTCTAGAGACAAAGATACTTTAATTGATGCTTAAAATTTAGTCATAGACATAAATAAACCACCATTGGCAAGTGTGTGTTATAAATCGTTCAATATTTTTGACTAATCAAAGTGTTCATTCTTTTCGTAAACATATACCTCAGGATATAAATACATGGATTCTGGCATGAGCTTTATAGACTCAATTCCAAGTAAGTATATTTTCCCTCAATGTTTTGATGTGAAATAATGTTATTAGATTTAACATTACACAAAAGAAGCATTCCTCAACAATCAATAACTCCTTATTAAATATGTATTGTGGCATCGAATCTTGTACTGAGCCATTGTTCTACAACGTTGTGTTAACTACAATTTTGGGGATAACTCATATTTATTAACAATACTGTTTCTTATGATATCATCAGTCTTTACTCTAGTTTACAGTAATATTCATATGCATAAGGAAAAAATATTAAGACAATCAATAAGTTAGTGATGAAAATGAGACAAATTATATAACTAGGCATGATAGGTATAAAGTAAAAATTAATAGTGAGATGACAAGTGTTTTAGTAGTGATGAAAATAAAATGAGCTCAATTTGATCTCTCAGTATAGGAACTAGGTCAGAGACTTGAAAAAAATAGACATTAAAATAATGCTAATCAAAAAGGATTAAAATTACGTAATAAGAAGAATTCAAATATTGAGAGAGTGAAGAAACGCAAAGCAAAAACGAAAAGGAATGGCATTTGATCGTAGCAACCATAATTGATAAAACCATTATCCTGCCAAGAAGCGGGCATACGTGAAACAAATATCATCAAAACAAATTGACTAGGATTGTATATCCAAACCCCTATTGCTTCTGCTACAGGCAGAAGATTAAATTTAACGACGATCAGAAATGACAAAAGTATATGGTAGATTACAGGAACTGATTTCATTTTACCTAATACATAACAACTCTTGACCAGAGATGATAAGGTATAGCTATGTATTCGTCTAACCGTTTTCAAACCACTTAATGTGATGTTCACTGATTTCCTGTGCCATCATAAAATAATCTTACTTTTATATGTCATTTATTATTCGGAAAGATTTTAAGGGTAGTGTTTCATATTCATAACATACTAAATGAAAACAAGTAGTATTTTAACAATAATTATCTTTCTAAAACAGCAGTTTTTTCACTGATATAATAGATGAACAAAACGAAGTAACAGTGATAAGACATTTGTCTGGATTTGCATAATTTTCACAAAGTATGCTCAACGCAGAAAATAAAGTAAGACGTAAGCTATTGGAAAAGGAACTCTTTCCATACGATCCAAGATATTGGAAACAAGTGAGCGCGAAACACCAGAAATCGAAATGTTTCAGGTACTGATTCTTTTTGGTATACAAATAGTCCTATCAATTGGAATAACACTTGGTTTGACGGTAATCAAGTACATAAAATTGAATTTATCATCTATTAGCAGAATAACTGATCAATCGTACATAAGTTTAGTTCTAATAATTGTTGAGGCGGTGCTGGCGTAAGTTTATTTTTTTTAGTAAATGCTTTAAACTAACATTATTTATTTTACTATCAATCCTGTTGTGATGTGTGCTACTTAAATCGACGTAAGTAGTATATGACGTTTGTCAGGAACAGAATGTCTGACATCAGAGAGACAAGAGGATCGGACAGTAAAGAGTGGAAACAGAATGCAATTTGTATGAAAATACGAGAACAATAAAGTCGGAATCATTTCAAGACAATTAATGGACACTTTGTAAATTAAGCATTTACTATATTGTTCTCAGATTTTATTGGGATGCTCTGTAATTTTGTGCTGAAATGCATTCGATTTTCCCCACCCGCGTTCTATTCACTACACTGTCATGTGTAATGTTCCTTAATGCATTACGTAAACACAAACTCGTATTTTTCAGTAATTTGAAACATGATTCTGTGAATAAAGTGAACACTTTCAATATCATCAATGAGTAAAAGCATTGGTTTCTGTTTGTTATTTGTGGTTACCATTAAAGTCTGTCCTGAAACTGAAATATAAATGATAGTAGATGATTTAAGTTTGTGTTATTTATATTTTGTAAACTTGAAAGTGAAGTTTAAGTACATCAACCAACTTATTGATTTGCCGAAATGTTATTGATGTATTTTCATAATTCTTTTCAGAATATTAAATGATGGGATATTAGTGTTGCTTTTGGTTTCAACAGCAGTGCGAAGAAAGTATCCAGTAAATATTGTCCTTTTGATGTTATATGTAAGTCTATGATATGTAGTTTCCTAGTTTTAACGAACTGTTCCTCATCCGCTTAATTATATAATCTGCTAAATAAATATATTCATTTATATCCACGTCACCATTACTGATAAAGGTGAATTTTCTAGAACGAATAAAAATCTTTCAAATTCATACACTTCCTAGTTATACAACATGCTATAAATGTACTTGGATTTTTCAACATACACATTTTAATCCTGTTCAAACAGGCTAATTTCAATTCTTACTTAGTAAATTTGTGTTAGATCTTGATATTAAGATTTTGATCATTGTGACCTTATTTACAATTTTAAAGATCGAATATTGGATGCATCTACTGATTAATTTACTAAAACATACTTTCATAGTTCGTTTGAATATCTATAGACTGCTTTAATTATCATAAAAGCCATGTGGTTATAAGTAAGTATAAAGATATTACAGAGAATGATGACATTGTACAATTGTTAAATATATTCAACTCTTGATTTTCTTCTACGTTTTAGACGGTACTTACTTCATTGATGGTTGGTCTTCCATTCACAGGTTTGGAAATTAAATGGCAACTTATAGCATGGGCAGTTACTTTGTTATCGTTTGTAGTATTTACATTGCTAGGAGCATCTATTCGAATACGTTTATTATATACAAATTTATGGTTTATTGTAATCTACACCACAGCGTTTATTGTTATCATAGTTGCAGTATTTGTCTCACGATATTTGAAAATAATGGTATGTGTTGAAAAGGTAACTGTGGTTCAAGATTTTGAGTAATGTTTTTCATAATATTTCATATATATATATATATATATATATATATATATATATATATTAGGTACGAAGGTTTCATATGCTCGCTTACACACAACTTAGCATTTCGTTTTAAATGGAGTAATTTAAGAAAAATCAACTTTGTTGATGCAAAATGCTTTTATTAACTGATGCTCAAAGTAGAATTTCGGAAAAGTAATACCACGTCGACATATCTACACAACACTCAAATAAGATGTATATACATCAGAATTGTCAAGTGTTGCATCATATTATCCATATAACGTTCTTTTCAGATCATAATGATCGTTTGTGCTGTATATTCAGCTCTGTTTTTAATCGTAGTAAGTTCAGTTCACAATATCTACATTCTTGTGTAATGTATTTTCGAGTTTTTCATAATACCATCTTTTATTACATAAATATTTTTCTGTAATCTACTTTACAAATTATTGAAACATGAATTACTTTAAAATTCAATTTACTGACTGAGCTCAGTTAGATAAATAAAGAAAAAAGCATTTACACGATATAGGACTCTTCAGCTACGAGCATCATTGACATCACCGATAATGGAACATAGGAACTTTAGCTATTGAAAGTCGACTGAAGTAAGATATATAAGGTATTGAATATCGCCTTAATGAATTAAAAGACAAGCATTTTACGCTCATCAGAACTCCCATATAATAAAAGACTAACCTGATATAAAGCAGATTTCCTCAGTAAAAAGTTTTAATATATTAAATGGCATAATTTAATAACATGGACAAGTGTAGGTTCAATACAACTTAATCCAATTGAATAGGGATGTTCGTTTAGATAGTATAATTACAGAAAATATCAAATAAAAATTGTCCGATGTGCATTTCATCATACATTTGACTCTTCACTTATTCTAACGTGTTATGAGTACTTAGGCATTAGCTTAGATTGTAGTTGGTAATGAAAAAACTTTTTAATTATTTTCTTTCAAAAAGATACGATTCAAAATTCACTTGCCTACTCAAGTTTAACTTAAGAAAGAACATTATTTTTAGAATAAAATGAATTCATTGTATTTCATTGATTTATCATCACCTACTTATAAGCGTGTTCCTTCAGTTAGATCCTTGACCACGTGTTCACACATGTCAAAAATAAGGATTGTGTAACACTGCGTTTCGGCAGTTGGTCCTGCTCAAGTTAAGGGTCTTGTTTAAGAATCTTTATGAATCGACATTCATTCAAAACAGTCACACTGGCGTGGATTCATGTCAGTCTGTACGTTTGGTATTTTACTTACAATTATATATTCTATTTTCGAATCGTATGTTTAACGTACGAATTATCTCATTTTCGTCATTGCTTGTATCATTTAAGCATTGTGATACTCGTCTTGTTAACTTCATCTCGTCTCATTCGTGAGATATAGATATTCGAGTTACCGAAATTATGTACATAACTTTGTATTGATTATACCTGAATGATAGGGTGATATTGCTGAAATTCAATAAAATGATTTATCTATCAAAGCAATAATATTCAACCAGTCTCAGAATAAATATATATTCATGTAGCTCACAACCAAATTGAATCGTATCTCCACGATAGTGAGTCGACGACAGACTTAAGTAATACAAAGACTTTTAATGAACATGTTACGAGATAATTCAAACCAGTAGTGTACGGATGTCTGTAACACGTTGTACCAGGTAGACGGTTCAGTTATTCGTTTCTTTCTAGATGACTTGAAATATTTTCATCTAGACATTACTTTATCGAAAATGCAACTTAAGGGAGGAAATATTTTGTATACTTGTATGTTTATACGAAACTATTTAATAATAGAGTATATCTTTCATTTTCTTCCAGTTAATGCTGATTGTAGGACAGGCAACATTTGGTAGACAAGACTTTCGAATTGCCGGTGATGATTACTGTTTAGCTGCATTGATTTTGTACACCGTATTGATGATGGATTGGTTAACGGTCACTCAAAATTTCCAATATTTCACAAACAACACACTCAATGAAACACGAAACAGTAACAGCAGTCAAGTTTCATTCGAAGTGTTGAAATCTAATAAAATGCTATTATAGTATTAGAAACATTATTCAGATTTTACTATACAACTTAATGGTTATATATATAATAATCTTCATGTCCTCATTAGTGACATGCTTCGATAGGACATTTACACATTCTGCTGAGAAATCATGTCCAGTGGAGCTAAACCTTATCGTGTGTAAGACAGTTACCCACCGAAGACCATGAAAGATAGTCGCAGGATATCGTGAATTGATTAAAATTGAACGACCGCACTTTTGGATAACGGCTCTATGGCCTAAGGTTAAGAATCTACAAGCAAGACAGAAAATCATGGTCTGTTTCCTGCATATGGGGTTGCGAATGCATTTTTTTGGAGATCACAGAACTAAAGTGGATGTAACCCTTTGGACATGCAACAAGAAAATTCGATTCTAGAATTACCACTGCGAGCTGACCTTTATTAGACTATAATAGGAGTCTTATATTAGGACGAAACGACCGTCAAGTGCTTCCAGTTTTTCAATAGTGGTCTAACTTAGATTAATTCATGACTTCAGTACAATTCAATAATCTCAAAAACCCCTTACTGACAATATTAATGTATATCAAAAATAGCTTAAATTACTCACGATATAAAGGAGATAAGATGTGACTAGTAGTAAAATGTAGGACACGCGTTTCGTCCTGTCTTGGACATGGGAGCTGGATGTACATGAATAAAATCAAGTGACCTTTGATTTCAGAAAGTAAGAATATATCGTTTGTTGGTCTTATCATTTTCAGTAGCTATAATTGTGAACCCAGAATACGATTTCACGTAAAAGCACTTTTATTTTTTAGAATAAATTTAGTACATATACAGTAATAGGATTGAGTCACTTAGCTATGAGTAATACCTACCAACCACCTTTTACAAAATAAGCAATATCTCAACACTTACTAATTATTATATTGCTTACGTATGAGGATAACTATTTAACGACGTTATCATTCATAACCAAATTGGTATTGAATCGATTTATAGGATTTTTTAAATGTCTACTTCTGCACAAACCTGAAGTTTCATCACAAATGTCTAAATAATATTTCCTAAAAATTTTCATTAGCATTTATAATCTTCACATTAACTTCAAGATAAATTTGTTACATAAAATTTCAAAAAATAGTTGTCCTTGTGTGTGCATTTACCAACACACTGAAAGTTTGACAAAGATACCTCCAGGTCATGTAGTACATCCCACTCAGTTTAAATAAAAACGCTTTAAATGAGGTAGATGTCAATTCGCAACACGGTGGATAGCTGTACATGTAAACGTATTTAGTTATCTTCTTTAATTGCCAGATTATTAAAAAACTATAATACAATGTAACGTAATATCAACGAAAGTATGTTTATTCTGGCAATAAGTTACCTTTTATATGACAACCGTTATTGAAATTTACTCAAACTATTGACGAGATGTGTGTTTTATCAATCATAGTTCAGAGTTTGATTTTGAATAATTCTTTAGTAAATCGAATGCTTGTTCGCGAATATTAACTGATTGTACAAATGACACCTCCATCAACCAGTTGAATTCGTTCACAAGGTATACATATGCATATGTATGTACTTATGAAGTACTGTCGCATTTAAGTTTTAAAATGATTCAATTTCAGTGATAAAAGTTTATTTATTCATAATGTCAGAGGTGAAGTTATGTCACCACTCATCTGTTGAAAATGCTGGGTGGGAGTATCATTTGATCATCAGAAGAATTAATAGTTGTTTTGATTAGGTCATATATACGTCATGCTCATAACCTCATGAGTATTTGCAGATTTTATTAGAGAAGACCTTATTTTGTTTAAAAATGAAGATTGTGACGCATCTATTAGGAAAGTAAAATGCTTTTAAACCCACAAATATCATATATATAACACGAGCTCCATATACATTTACCTAATCGATGATTCATGTTCAGGGGCTCATCGTTCATCGACTACTCTAATATTTCATCATTGTAATAACTAACTGAGTATAGTTAATATTCACTGATAATTATATGAGTTACATCAACTGACCTGACTGTCGTTATGTATACAATATAAATAAACCTGTGGTTCCAACATATATGTACTGAGTGGATATAGACCTTTTTTTCTCAAATACTTAATCACAAAACGCATTACGATCTACTCAAAATCTACTCATATAATAGTCATTTAGCAGCAACTGTCACTTTGCCTTACAAATTTGTAAACAAATATAAATACATGATTATTAGATGTATAATATGAACTTAACAAATACAACTTTCCTAAACAAATCATTAAATAATCTTGGAACTCATTAACAAATGAGATTCAGACTATTACATTCATTATCCAGCTGGTAGATCCACCAACGTACGGATCATTTCGCGTTTAGCCTTGATTGTCATATTTAGTTGTATGCAGCAAAGTATGTTGAAAATACGTGAACATTGTGGTAATCAGAATATTAGTTTCCTGTGGAATCAATGATGCCATTTCTAAAACACATTACATTTATGTCACCCAAAGATTGATACTCAGCAAAATTTAACATAAAATTTGAACAATTTACATTTGATATGGAAGGCTGAGAATAATAGACGATTTTGTACCTTAATCTATACTTATTTAAATGTGGGTGCAACATTAGTTGTGGAATTGAATTGTATATTATTGTATTTTATTGATGTATTTTCATCTTCGTACAATTCGGTATGTTTATTGAGAGTTTTGATAATCTGGGTCTCCGAAGTATTATTGGTGTAACATGGGTTACCCAGCTGAGTATCGCTGGAACTAAACAATAGGTATTTGATAGTTTTTGTATCGGCTAGTGATTTTGTTCGAATTTATCAAACTACGTGACTGGGTCATTGGTTAAATGTGGAAAAAATCGCCAATTTCAAACTGAAACCTTGACTAGAATGTTTATACGTTGAATAAAAAGTAGGAGTGGTCAAACATTATTAGTATGACTATGAAAATGAATTAAACATAGATGACGGACCTAAATAGTGCATTTCCTATTGTGAAATAAATTCCGATGATTAAAAAACTATACATCTGAAACCTAGAACATACGAATATCTATCGTATGTAACTATTTCGTTTTCTGTGAACATTTTAAACAATATCCAACCATCTAAAGATGTAAAGTTTTACCAAACTTTCAGATCTTATGATTTATCTCCATTAAATAGATGTTTTATCTATAAATACCTAAATTAAAAGATGTCGGCTCAACACTTTATAGATGTGAGTGAATGACTGACAAGCGAGACGTTATGACAGCCTATTGAATTATCGTTACTTATTCTCAATAATTGATTGTGTCACACTAAATTTTAAATGTAAACCATTTGACTGCAACTTAGGAATCTGAATGTAGTACCTAATTTGTAAGATCTGAGTGTACTTAGTTTACTCATAGACGAAGTGATGTTGAGCACGCGACTGAAGTGTCCATTAGAAGAAAGAATTATCTATCTAAGAATTCATACTTTCAAAGGCTATTCCAGTTGAGTTAATTGTTGGCGAAAAACAAACGATATATCTTTCTGTAAACATAGTTGAATCCTAAAATATATGCATGAACTACCTACACGATGATAATCACTATGATACTCAAACTGTTAACTGCAATTACTGTCTAGGTAAATATTGTCAACAAGGCAATGAAGACATCCATGGTATAGTCGTCTTCAACAGTGCTGTCTGAAAATTATCAATAAACCTTCAAAACATAGTTATTTTCAAAGACCAGTGACAATGAGGTACCAGACAGTTGTTTTTTATATTTAATCACACCAGAACTTGTTTTTTAACATTTTATTCTTAGTTTAAAAGATCAGTACTAATTAGTTAACTTTCAACGGTTTTTTTAATTACTTTCAAACTAGCCACGCCACAAAACGTTTCGAGTTTAATTTGAAATAAATTACTAGTGGTTTGTATAACTATGTGTTAATTTGACGTGATAAATAATTTATGGTCAAAGATTTTGTTGATATACTAAGACTTCCAGACTTTTATTAATTTATCACCCATTACGTAACATAGTGTATAACTTACACCAAAAAAATGGATGAACACGAAATTCACATCGTATTGATTTACATGACATTTTATAACTCATCCGCATAATGTCGATCACTAGATTGAACAGACGCACTTCATTGCATTGGATAAACATTTCGTTTCACATACTAATTGCATTGGAAAACTACTGAGCAAAAATTATGTCGGTCATTAATAACTGACAGACTTCAAGACATCCACTAATTTCACACAGTTTTCTCATAGTTTACAATGCGATGACATCTTGAAACTATGTCACATTACTCAAGAATGTTCATTAGGTCATTTTATGATAAAAAGTTAGAACAATTATCATATAATTCATCATGTTTAGTGTCCCTCAAATGTCTTCTTGAAGACAGTTGTGAAGTTTGGAGAATTGTTTGTAATAACAGAAATATCTGCAAGAACTATGAAAGTCAAAGTAGCTGTTGGAAATTGCTCTGTCTTAGTCTGATTTAGTAATATTTTCTAGCAGAATGAACCATTTATCGTGTAGGCCATGAATATCATGATTGAATTGTACGTTAGTATCTTTGAGGATATTTTGCTTACTACTTTACACATTTTAGAATTAATACATGTGATAAATCATGTACATATTGAAATAGTACAGTGTTTATCAGTGCGGATTTATAGAATCCTGAGCATGGGATGTAGATGGTTTATGACAGTATATGATTACACTTTAAAAAGTAAGTAAACTATCACTTTTTGGAACAAAGTTAATAAACATAAATATAATTCATGACATTTAGTATTTATTATCATATGTGTATTTTAATCAGAGTTTATTTGATTGATTTTGATGTTTTTATGTCGATGATTTTTTGGTTTTATATGAATTCTGTCTGTAATATAAGCTTATTCTAAACTTATTTAATCCTACCTGTTCTTTTTAAGATTAGCATAAGAAGCACTAATCAGAAATAGAACATATTTTTCTGTATCTTAATGGCACAAATTATCTAGTTGTAACCAATTACTATTGTGTCAC